AAAAAAAAAAAAAAAAAAAAAGAACAAGGCATGTGGGTGTCGGCAAAAAGGAGTCGGAACCAGAAGCTTCTGTTTCTCTTTTGAGGAGGAACCAAGAATACAGAGAATGAGAAGAGGCCAAGGAAGAAACCATGGTAAACCCCAACATAGAAAGAAAGGCAAAGGAAGAGCCAGCCCAAAGGGCTGAGTAGGGGCAGCCCAAGAGAGGAAAGGAGAATGGAAGGAGGGGAGGGGGGACCCAGAACCAGGGAACAAACAGGCTGCTGTCACGGCCACAGAACAAAATTGCTTAAAAGTTCAGCCTACCTCGAGTGCCTGGGTGGCTCAGTCAGTTAAGTGTCTGACTCTTGATTTCGGCTCAGGTCATGATCTCACGGTTGATGAGATCAATCCCTGCATCAGGCTCTGTGCCGACACTGCGGAGCCTGCTTGGGATTCTCTGTCTCCCTCCCTCTCTGCCTCAACCCTGCATGCACCTTGCTCTCTCACTCTCTCTCAAAATAAATAAATAAACTTTAACAAACAAATAAACAAACAAAATTCAGCCTACCTGGCATGGACACCAGCCACTTCCTATCTGTTCAGGACCTCTGAATCCCCCTCTGTATTTGTGGTTCCCTAGCCAGGTTGGAGAAAGGATGGGAGACAGCTTGCCTTACACCTGAAAGGACACTGGACTCAACCCTATTCTTATCTAAGACAATGGCTAATTAGTCACTTCAGCATTTTACACTGTCGAAGCGATCTTGCTTTATTCTTCACAGAATCTTAGTCTAGAGAGAAAACCACGCTATGCTTCTTCATTTTACAGACAGGCAAGCTGCAGTCAAGAAAGGTTTAATCACAACAGGATCGTCAAATTATGACGCTGTCCACCTTAAGCCTGCACAGTCCCCTATGTCAACTGTATTTCCATTAAACTGGCGGGGGATGGGTGGGGAAGGCTTAATCACTTGCTCAAGGTTAACACAGCTAGTTACTGGCCCGGGATTCAGACCCGACTCTCTGAACTTTCATTTCATTCCCTGTAGATGGCACATAGCTCTGTGGATAAAGCATGGGAGGCTCCTCCAGGCTGAATCCTCGTGTGCCATTAACAAGCTGGATGACTTCCTGCCAGTCATTTACCCTCTTTGGGTCCCAGTTACCCACTCTATGAAATGGGTGTAGTAACACCTTACCCTCTTCACTCAGTGTTGTCATAAAAGATATGTGAATAAAGTTCTACCCCCCGAACTGGTCTTCAAGGGACTTCTCGCGTGCCCAGGGCACAGGGGCCTGTCTTGTTCATGCCGGTCCTGGTACCTGGCACACTGTGGCACTCGCTAAATACACGGAAGGGGCATGGCAGGTAGAAGAGCAAGGACAGGCAAAGGGAAGGGACAGAGGGGAAGGAAGAGGAGAATCGACTCTCCTTCCTGTGCCGCTCCGGCCAGGCCCATCCCAGGGGTGGCCAAAACCAGATACCTCTGCTGGGATGTGGCCCCACATGGAAACCCTTCCTATCCTCTCCACTGAAAGAAGTCCCCCCTCAACCTTGTAGCTCTTCCAGGAAAACCTTTAAGCTTATTCCTTATTCTGCATCCCACAGCTACCACTCAAAGCCAGGCCACCACTGCCTCTCATCCCAGGGCCGACAACCCCTCCTCCCTGGCCTCCCAGCTTCCACCCAAGCCCACAGTCCGTTCCCCAGCAGCAGTCAGAGGGAACATGATAAAAACCTGAATCGGGGTGTGCCACACCTCTGCTTTGGACCATATAATGCTTCTCGACGGATCTCGAAGTAAAAACAAAACCCCAGGTCCTCCCAGTGGCCCCTGCTGGCCGCTCTGAGCTCAACCTCTGCCCCTCTCCCCTTTGCTCACCTGCTGCTGCCACAGAGGCTACTTTGCTTTCCCAACCCACCAAGTTCGCTCCTGCCTCAGAACCTCTGCATATGCTAGTCCCTCTACCTCCAATGCTCTTCCTAAGGCTGGTTCCCCTCAGCTGATATGCAAACCAATGAATGAGTCAAAGGAGAGACAGAGGCTGGCAGGAAGTTACAAAAGAGGGCAGGGGGCTGGAGAGGGCACGGTGGGGGTGAGGCAACTCACCAGGTGACCATTCGAGCCACGAGGCCCTTGGGCGGCTTGGCTGGCACCATCTCCTTCTGGACAATGAAGTAGGGGTACAGCACATCAACGGGAAGCTCCACAAACACTGGGCCTGTGGAGGGGCAGGGAGGATACTGAGCCTGCCATGCCTCCCTGGACCCAGGCCTTAGGGCCTGACCACCTTAACCCCACCCCCCCCCCACCTACCTGGTGTCCCCGACTGGGCAGCCACCATCGCAGCCCTCAGGGTGGGCACGATGTCCCGCACCCTCCGCACAGAAGCACAAAACTTGCACAGTGGCCTAAACAGGGCCATCTGATCAATGGCCTGGAGCGCACCCCGGTTCTGGTGGAAACAGAGGAGGCCAGAGTCAATACATGAGCCCTTTGAGGCTCCCCGAGACCCCCGCCATCCACCCAAGGGCAGGGCACCTGCAGCAGAGTGCTGGCGGCCCCACCCAGAAGCAGGACTGGAGACTGAGCTATCTGGGCATTCTTCACTGCAGTCACCGTGTTGGTGAGGCCAGGGCCCGCTGTCACTGCTGCTACGCCCACGGTCCCTGAAATACAGAATCCATCACGGCCCTGCCCTCCCTCCTGGCCACCTCTGAAAAAACTCTGCCCTGCAAAGACTTCCCATCCCATTCTCACCAGCCCTCCACCCTCTCTGCTCTGCCCTCACCGGTCAGGCGGGCCACAGCATCGGCGGCAAAGACAGCTGTGACTTCGTGGCGTGTGTCCACCACGCGGATGCCCAACTTCTCACAAGCCACCAGTATGGGGGAAATGTGCCCGCCGACCAGGGTGAAGAGGAACCGCACGCCGTGGGCCCTCAGCACAGCTGCCACATTCTCCCCGCCATGCTGGATGCTCGCCTTGTCCACCTGGGCCCACGGAGGGAGAGGAGCACAATTACCAAGGACCAGGGCAAGAGCGCCAAGGCAGACAGGGAGAGGGCACTCTCACTCCCCCAGGAAGGAGGGCAGGACAGAGTCAGGGGTCAGAGGAACTTTGATATTGGTGAGGCACATATCATACTATACACAAGGCCCAGAGTAGGGCAGGCCGTCCTTGCACAGCTAAGGGAACCAAGACTTGCCCTGGCAAGATTCAAAGTCCCATAGAACCAAGGCTCTCGAGCGCCCCCTTCTGTTACACTGCCTGTCTCCGGGGACAGTAGGCCAATGAGCGAGAGGAGAGGGAAAGTGGATCCCCAGAACCCAAAGTAGTTTGGCCAGGGGCCATCTGCTGAGACTCCAAAACTGCCTGCCCTCCAGGACCTAGTGGCAACTGTTGATCCCAGCCCGCTACGCTTCCTCCCACTCACTGGGCAGGCCCCGCTGACAGGCTGCCAGCCACTAAGCACCTGGCAAGGGAGCGGCCTGCTGACACAGAATATGCTGAGGCTTCTGAGCCTCGGCTTGTTCCCAGCCCCGCACACCAGAGGCCTTTGCCTTAAATCTCCAGAAATCCTCAAGGCCAGTGACCTTGCTCCCGTTGCTATTGGGAGGGGGAGGGGTGGACTCCTGAGGGAGGAGCCAAGCAGTTCAGAGTGAGATCCGTGGGGTCAACTGTTCCCCAAAAGGCCACCTATGACAAGTTACCACACAAACTCTCTGAGCCTCAGTTTTCTCTTGTGGAAAATGAGTACAGAAACAAAAGCACCCTCTAGGGGACGCGTTGAGAAGTACATGACATCTCTCACAGCTACCCCTTCTGGTGCTACCTTTGGCCCACTCTGATCACGTCGGGTTTAGGGAGCTGCGCTCAGTGAAAAGGGCTCTTGGCCTCTGGGGAAGGAGTAGGCGGGGCGCTGAGTACCCGGCAGCTACCGCCCGATTTATCTCTGCCTACAGGCAAAGTCCAGGGACCTGTCTGCAGACTGCCCAAGCGTTAAGGGCCGTAGACAGAATTTCCCAACCGAGCCCCCTAGATTGGTCGGGCCTCACTTTCTCCTGTAAAATAAGTGAGCTAGGAGTGCCAGGAGCTCCTTCCTTCTTTGGCTGCCCCCAGCCCGCCGCTGACCTATGCCCCCGCACCTTGTGCATCAACTGATAGAAGAGCCCCAGGCGGTGCGCGCAGCCCAGCAGGGCGGCCACTAGCGTCCCGCAGGCCAAGAGCAGGAAAGAGGGGAAGAAGCTCCCAGCAGGGGCGGCGGCCGTGAGGGTCTCCATGACTCGCCACCTGAAAGAGAAAGGACAGTGCCAGCAGCTAGGCGCAGCGATCTTTTCCGGAAGAAGGTTCCCCGGCCACAAGGCTCCCGGGCCACGCCTCTTCTCGCCAGTTTCGGCGCAGCCACGCCACCTACGCGGTTAGGCTCTGGGCGAGGCCACGCCTCTTGGGGGGCCAGGCCACGCCTCCCGCGGCGCCAGCCCCCTTCCTTACGTCACCACCAGCACCAAAAATTGGCCACCACAGGCAGTTTTGGCCTCAAAATAGTGCTTCACACTTACCTGTTTCTCAAAGAATAGATGGAAAGCCCCGCCTCTTTTACACCTGGGTCCAAATCTCAGCCCCAATGGTGAGCCCGCCCACACCAAGTCTACGCCACCTAGAAGGACGAGGCCACGCCCCCAAGCTAGCGGGCGCGCCCATCCCTTAAAGCTAGACCTCTGCCCTCTGCGAGCGCCCGAGCCTGACACCGGCCCCAGGCCGTGGGTCAAGGTCACATCGCAACAGGAGGCTTCTCTGACCCCCAGGATACTTCGGCCTTCACCTACGGGAAATGGCGCTGACTCCAGAGGAATTCGGTGCCCTTCATGTCACGTGACCCAAACGCGCGGCTTGAGGGGGCCGGGCTCCGAGCCTGCAGCCTTGTCCCTTTCTCTCACTTGGGTCTGCGGCGCCCCGTAGTCCGGCCTGAGACGCACGCGCAAAGCTGTAACCACGCTCTGGGTTACAAGCATCTCCTATAAAAGCCCCGTCCCTACAGGCCGCCTCAGCACAAGTCCCGCCCTCCCCCGCCTCTCATTGGCTCGCACTGCAGGCCTAACCCCTTTCTTTACATGAGACCACGCCCCTTGGCATTTTGTATAAGCCGCGACCGGGGGGAGCCGGCTTTCCACGGCTTTCCGTTGGCCCCCACGTTTCTGTCCGTAGTGTTCGGGCCTTCCAGCGAGCCAGCTTTCACACCAGCCGTGCCGAATGCCCCTCAGGTCGGCCAGACCGGGACGTCACACGTCGCTCCCCAGATCCACCGTCTGCAACCACATCCCAAACAAGCCCGCCCCTCGCCCTTGCACAGGCCCCGCCTCCCATCCCACCAGAACCCTACAAGGGCAGAGCTTCGCCCCCAGCTCGTAGGCTCGCCTCTGCGGCTGGCCCCACCCCCGCAGGCCCCGCCTTCTTTCCCAGACCTTGAGGAGTTTCTGCCCCGAGTGCAAGGGAGGAGTCGCTTCGACGCCGGTGGTCTTTGGCTCCAGCCATCTGGCCTCTAGAGAATGATCTCTCCACCAGCGATGGGGAAGTAATTCTGGTACTGAGCACCCTGCTTCCTTCCAAAACAAATCTAGTTGTTTCTCGGCCTTTTAGCTAAGATCAAGTGTAGTAACTGTTGTCAGATAAACATCAGATACGTCCCCTATCCGAGGGTAATATATTAAATGGATTTTTGGAGCAGGGAGTTGGAATAGGAGCTTGCTCCGCCCACTTCACCCATCCACGTGGTACTGCAGTACATCCAGGAACACTGCACCCGCCTGTGGGGGGGAGAAGATAAAGATTGTACCATTTTAACATTGGCCCTCATCCCTTGTCAACTTCAGGGATTTCCCTTTGAGGATTACACCCTGTTGTTAATTTTGTCTTATGTTGAAATCATTCCTACTTTTCATTTGACCCATTAAAAGAAAGAAAAGAAAAGGAAACCCCTTTGCCCCACATTTTCCACTTATTACTCTCCCTTTGCACTTTTAAAAAAAAAATTTTAATGTTTACTTATTTTTGAGAGAGAGAGAGAGAGAGAGAGAGAGTGTGTGAGTGGGAGAGGAGCAGAGAGGGAGGGAGATACAGAATCCCAAGCAGGCTCCAGGCTCTGAGCTGTCAGCACAGAGCCCAACACGGGGCTTGAACTCACAAACTGTGAGATCATGACCTGAGCTGAAATCGGATGCTTAACCCACTGAGCCACCAGGCGCCCCTGCCTTTGCATTTCTTTTTAGCAAAATTCCTCCAGTGAGTTATCTACATCTGCTGTCTCCATAAGACCTCCATCTATTCCCTCTTCAACCCACTCCAACCAGACTCCTCCCCGCCACCCCATGAGAGCTGTTCAGGAGTATTCCAAGAGTTTCCAAACCCCTCCCTCTCCCTCCTGTCTCTCATCTACCAGCTCAACCCCACTCTCCCTGTATATAATTAACAGGATAAAATACAAACTTCCTGGACAGGCCTTCCAGTTGCAATTAAATTCCAAAAGCCAATAATGAAACAGTGATCATTTTTGTTAAGCACTTATTACATATAAGGGCTTGTTCCATACTCTTTGCATTAACTCATTTAATCCTCACAACAGCCCTGTAACGTAGTTTATGTTATTAATCTCTCCATTTACAGGTGAGGAAACTGAAACACAGAGAGGTTAAGGAACTTGCTCAAGGTCACACAGCTTGTAAGTGATAGAGGCACAATGTGAACTCCAGCCGTGCTGCCCCCAGACTGGGAGGACCTCAAGAACAGGTACTGTGCTTCAACCACATGGCTTCTCCATGCTTGTCACAGGGTATAGCATTTGAGGACCACCCAGACACCCTTGCACTTAACATTGGATTTTATTCTAACTGAATTGGAAGGCCAGAGAGGATTTTGAACAGCCTAAGTCACACCAAACCTGCACACAATTTTTCAGAGGGGCTTTATTGGTAATAGCCAAAAGCTAGGAAAAAACCAAATGTCCCTTGTGAAAATCAGTAGAATGAAACCTCATTTAACGTTTATTTATTTTTTTGGGACAGAAAGAGACAGAGCATGAACGGGGGAGGGGCAGAGAGAGAGGGAGACACAGAATCGGAAACAGGCTCCAGGCTCCCAGCCATCAGCCCAGAGCCCGACGCGGGGCTCGAACTCACGGACCGCGAGATCGTGACCTGGCTGAAGTCAGACGCTTAACCGACTGCGCCACCCAGGCGCCCCATGAAACCTCATTTAAAATGGAGCTGGGAGGCTAGAAGGGGAGCTCACACACCCTACCACTCACCATCAACTGTAAACTAAGCACTGAGGGACTTACCTTGCAAGTATTGAGAACAAATACCACTGAACTACTCCAGCAGAAGGAAGAAAGGTCTTTCTCCTCCCCCAGCAACAGCCCGACCAAGGAGAGACTGTGACCCCACAGCCAACGAAAAAGCCACTATACTTTGAACTCCCAGTTAACTCCAATGGACTTTTGGTTTATAGCAGCTCCTCCCAACCCTCCCTTTTCCTCTCTAAAGAACTTTCCTTGCCCATGTGCCTCAGACTTGCCTGTAGATTGCGGTGGCCTAGGTATCAAGAATTGTAATTTTCTGGTCTTCCTGAATAAGCCCATTTTTGCTGATAAATAACTGACAGTTTTATTTTATTTTTTTAAGTGTATTCATTTATTTTGAGAGAGAGAGAGTGAGCGAGCAGGGGAGAGGCAGAGAGAGAGGGGAAGGAAGAGAATCCCAAGCAGGTTCCACACTGTCAGCGTGGAGCCCGAAGTAGGGCTTGAACTCATGAAATGTGAAATCATAAACAGCCGAAATCAAGAGTCAGATGCTTAGTCCGCTGAGGCACCTGGGGCCCCCAACTGACAGTTTTATTTTTAAGGTTAATGCCTTCAATAGGTGAGTGGTTAAACTGTGATCCACCCATAGCATGGAACACAACTCAGCAATAGAAGGCAAGCTACTGAAACACACAACGACTTAGATGAATCTCAAAATAATGATGCTCAGAGAACAGCTGTGTGGTTGCCAGAAGTTGGGGTGGGAAGAGGGAATGGGGGTGAAAGTGGTCAAAAGGTACAAACACCTAGTTAATAGATAAATAAGTCCTGGGGATGGAGACCACAGTTACCAGTATTATATCATAGATCTGAAAGTTGCTAAGAGAATGGGTTTTAAAAGTTCTCATCATGGGATGCCTGGTGGCTCAGTCGGTTAAGCGTCCGACCTCGGCTCAGGTCACCATCTCGCGGTCTGTGAGTCTGAGCCCCACGTTGGGCTCTGTGCTGACAGCTCGGAGTCTGGAGCCTGTTTCAGATTCTGTGTCTCCCTCTCTCTCTCTCTCTCTCTCTCTCTCTCTCTGACCCTCCCCTGCTCATGCTCTGTCTCTATCTCTCTCTCTTTCTCAAAAATAAATAAACATTAAAATTTTTAATAAATAAATAAATGTTCTCATCACAAGGAAAAAAATTGTAATTCTGTGAGGTGATGGATATTAACTTACTGTGGTCGTCATTTTGCAATATATAGGTATATCAAATCATTAGTCGTGGACCTTAAAGTACAATGGTATATGTCAATTTTACCTCAAAAACAAACAGGCTGGGGGAGAGTATTCTCTATCCACAAGCTAAACACCCATACAAAGTTATGCTGAGTGAAGGAAGTCAGTCTCAAAAGGTTACATACTATATGATTCCATTGATACAATATTCTGTAAGTGACAAAACCAGAGGACAGATGAGTGGTTTCTGGGGACTAGGGGAGGATGTGACTATAAAGAGGGTCACACAAGGGAGTTTTCTGGGATGATGTTCTGTACCTGGATGACGACGGCAGTGGCATGTGTTAAAATTCATTGACTTGTACGCTAAAAAAAAAATCTATTTTAATATATCATACTTTTAAGTTACACATATAATTGCATACACATGCATGTATAGAGAGAGATATACACACACAATGTAAACAGTTTTTTTAAGATACATTAGCAGGGGCACCTAGGCGGCTCAGTTGGTTAAGTGTCTGACTTTTTTTTTTAATTTTTTAAATTGGTTTTAATTTGTTTTAATTTTTTTAATTTACATCCGTATTAGTTAGCATGTAGTGCAGCAATGATTTCAGGAGTAGATTCTTTAATGCCTCTTACCCAGTTAGCCCATCCCCCATCCCACAACCCCTCCAGTAACCCTCTGTTTGTTCGCCATATTTATGAGTCTCTCATGTTTCATCCCTCTCCCTGTTTTTATATTATTTTTGCTTCCCTTCCATTGTGTT